TGGTGAAATAGGAAACCTCAACAATTTAGACTGCATAAGGATAAGATGACATATAAGAGTTAGGTTTCGCTTTCAACTCTAATCATGATATAAATATCTATATTTGAACTTGGAGGACTATTGTGTTTGTCAAAAATATAACCATGACAGAAAAACTTGCTCAAAATACATTTCACCTAATACTATAGTCCACGCATGATATTAATAACCATACATGGACTTAGATGACTATTGTTATACCTCACCACATAGGTTCCATGTGACCGACCTACTAAAGTTCTTATGATGAAGCCGCGTGGATGATTATAAAGTCTATAGGTCCGAAGCATCGAAGTCGTAATCATCAAAGTGGTCTCATGTTAATGACGAAGCTCTGAAGTCTCCCCGCCAAAGTAATGAAGCTCAATAAAGGTTAGAACCGAAGCTCAAGAGACGACCCACACGTAAAGATCTTGATTCTGTGTACGATTTTTTTGGAATGATTAATGAGACCTTTGTAATAAGTAGAATGTCAAGTCTTATCACTTTAGGTTGTAAGGTAGTTGCTCCCTGCAAGAGCATTAAATGCGTCACCGGCTAGTAAGTTTAAATGAATGCCTAGAGTTCGATGCTTCAGTTAAGAAGACAATGTCACGTATATCTTCATCTAATAGACATCATTTCACTTGTAACACTATAATACTCTCTCCATGTATCATTTAAAGGCGAATGCAACTAAAGACACTAAAAGCTACTCTGTCTTTTCACTTGCTTATTTTCATACACATGTTGGCTTGAGCTAAGATTATCTAGCTTTAGTCTAATTGTTAACGATTGACTATTATGACATGATCGTTCTCAAAAAATATTGTAGGAGCTCAAACATATTTTTGTCTTGAGTTGTAAAACTTTTCCCACGTCCAAACGTGAAGTATTGTCAACTAGCATCATATCCATACGCGTTAGAATTTGCTTACGCGTGCACGAGTGGGCTCGATATCTATTGTCCATGTCACCCTAACGAAAAATGAGGTCAGCAATAACATTTCGTCAGAAGAGATCAAAGAGCTACTTATGTAAGCACTTATGCTATGATTTAACTAAGGTTCTTTCCGTGGTTGTAGATCAACGTATAACTTGAACTATAATTTAGGGACCAATAGTGCAATTTTTTAAAGACATAAAATTATCCAATAAATGGCAATGCTACAATACACATTTTGCGTACATAATCATTTACACTCCTTCACATGGAGGGAGACTGCATATAATTTATTAGGGAAAAATTTACAATTAAGATATTAAGTATTGACAATTCAATTCTCATGTCTAAAGTTTTGAAAATGCAAAAATGAGGTTTAATTAAATATATTTTATTAATTGAAAATAACAAGGTCGCATTTATACCATTAATGGTCACAGGTTCATAGTTATAAGTTATAAACTTATTTATTGGTATCGTATTATCAAATTAATTGATCATAAATTATTTCGAGGTCACGAATCAAAAATTTTATACGTAACAGTTTATTAATTGGTCACAGTTGAAAAAATTATAGGTCACAGTTTATCTATTGATAACATATTTTCGAATTTGTTAATCACAATTATCAAATTTTAAGGCCACAGGTAATCAAATAGTCAATCACAGGGCAAATAGTTGGTCACATTACGTACCACCACCACTGCTACTTTTCAGCATCCTCACCCCCGTCACTGTCGCCGACCACCATCTTGTTACCAACACTACCACCACCGCCAATTCTACTACCAAGAATAACAACACAATTCTCTCGACACAACCAAAACATGACCACCACCACCTCACCAACAACCAAAAGAAAGAAAAAAAACTACCAACATCGCCACTTTGTGAAACACCACCAACTACCAACAAAAATCACTACAACCACAAGGTCCACAACTCAAAATAAAAAGGGGGTAGTGGTGAGTGGAGCTTACAGCGCCACCATCTCTGGCGGCAATGGACGAGGCCGTCGCTGATAAAAATCGAACCAGCGCTCACATTTACGAGTCCAAGAAAAGGAGGCGTCGCGCCACTTGCAGCAGTGTCGATCTCACACCGAAATTGGCGCCAATCTTTAGAGCGTCGTCGGTGATGAATCTTCTATGGCGATTTAAGAATTTTTATAGAGAGAAGGGAGAATCTGCATAGTGAGAAGGAGGAGACCAGATTGAATTAGGAAATGATAAGGTTTTTAATTGGGTGGATTAACTATATATGATACTTGATTTTTACATAAATGAATTTTACCCCTAAATTTTCAATTTGAAAGTTTATGTAGTTGGTTTATGTAATTTCCACAATTTATTTTACGTAGACCCCTCTCCATGGAAGGGGATTAAGCCCTCGATTGGCCCCCATTAAATTAAATTTTATTTTTCTCTCTTCTATTTTTAATCACATAATTTTTCATAAAATAATATTATATTTAGATCGAAATTTTTTTCTTTTTTTCCACTACTCATTCTTCAAAAAAATATTATTCCACTCCTTTTAATTTAGAAAAATGGAGAATAAATTATGTACAAAATAAGTGTACAAGTAGGTTAACTCATACAACAAAAACGTGCTGCCAAATCGTCTAAAAACACGAAAATCGAGATATCCGAATTAAGCAGAACAAAAGGAAGTAAGAACTGACAGAATGGACCTTCTAGGCTTTTACTTTCTACCAGGGTTAAAACTGTCAAATCAAAAAACTTCTGACTAAAGCTTGCAGAGCTAGAACAGTCCATTCCGTCAGGGCTCAGTAAAAGATGTCCCATCAATCTCGCGATCGATACGATCGACTGCTTACAAAACAACAAACTTTCTAATCCCCCTTAAGTAATTAAATTATTAGTAATTCTCTGTCTATAACATTCTTCTCCTTTTAAAAAGTAGAGCTAAATACTACTTCAATTTAATTATAATGTTTCTGCATAATTAAATAAATAGAAGCAAGGGGGTAGACACTACGACATTTTTAAGACCAAAAGGTAACTAAGATATTATTTAAGACCATTTTATTACTAATTTCAATTGTTAATTTTTTTATTAATAGTGAAAAATTAGAAAAAATTAAAACTGACTCTAAATCTATTAAAAATAAAAAAATATATATAATTACTATTCGTAAAGAAAGTCAAAGAAAAAAAATTCTTCGTGTTCGAGTTTGTTAAGGCAAGGGTGGACCCACTAAGGGTCTAGTGGGTTCGACCGCCTCACTAAATTTTCAAAAAATTTCAATTGGACATTTTCAAATTGAAATTTTTTGATTTTTCTTTTTTTCATAATTTATTGTAGCCCCTTTTTTACTTCACCCTTACTGAACCATAGTTCTATGTTCGTCCCGATTTAACGGTCGTGATTCTCAAGGCAGAAGCTGAAAGCAAAGGTTTAAGAATTGGTAAATCATTCCTCTCCACTCCTTAAAATTTAAAAAAATAAAATAAAATAAAATCCACACACACTCCTTAATTTGTCTAGAAAAAGCAATGCTATAGACTCTCTTAGACAATCAAATCAAGAGATGAAATAAAGTATAAAAATATTGTCTTGGCTATAAACACGAATTCAATATAATCAATTTTAGATAAATCATGAATATGAATTAGCAATGAACTCTTGAAGTCAAAGCACAAGTCATGAATGGAGATTATGGAGTTCAAAGACATTATTTAGTGATAATTTTGACTTAAATTTAGTCAATTTCAACTATAAATTTGAATTAGCAATGAACTCCCTAAGGAAATCAAGGCGCGAATCATAAATAGAGTATAAAAATATTAATTAACGATCAATTTGAATTAAATATAATCGATATTAGCGATACATTTGAATTAACAACAAACTATCTAATGAAATCAAAACACAAGTCATAAATAGAGTATAAAAACATGTTTAGCGATAAATTAAATTAAATATGTAAATTTCAATTATGAATTTGAATTAGCAAAGAAGTTTCTTACGAAGTTAAAGCATGAGTCATAAATAAAGAATAAAAAATTATTTAGCAATGAGTCCGAATTAAATATAGTTAATTCAACGGCTAATCTGAATTGGCAATAAACTATCTAATGAAGTCAAAGCATGAGTCGTAAAAAAAAATATTTCACGATAATTTGGAATTAAATATAGTGAATTTCAATTATTATGGTGAATTAGCAATAAACTCTAATCAAATGAAAGCATGAATCATGAAAAAAGAATAGAAAGTTACTTGGTAATAAGTTTGGATTAAGTACCAATTTGGTGAGGATTCAAATAAGATTTTTAGTAAAATTTGATAAAATTATGATTGAAAATTTGTGAGTTCTATGAAATATGAGTTAAAATTAATTGTTAACTCTGATTTTGATGAAAATCTGAATTCAAAGCTCTACCAAAGCTAAATATAGCTTCGATGATTAATCAGAAGTGGTTGTGAACACACCAATGAAGTCAAAGCAAAAGCAAGATTACTGAAAATTGTATCAATAATTCTACATGTACATAATTATTCTAACAAAAGAAAAACAGGATACTCATATGGGTTGGGCCGTGTGAGTTTTATATTGGAAAAAAACACACCACCCACCCTGTGTATTTGTGTGTTTTGAATTTCTATATAAATTATGTTCAAGGATAAAATCATATGTACTGAAAGGGGGGTTATCGAAGCGTGTCCCCTCCCTCACAAACATGCGGGCCCCGTGTGTATTTAATAATGTCGAGCCGTGATCCCCACCTTGACAATATGAGTGGAGTGTAAACAATTATATAAACAATTATATAGATGTAGCACAATCCTATCTTCAATAATCCCGGCACTCGTAGCAACACTCAAATTGTATTGGCTATAAATAGTGATTTGTGTTTTACTTGTGGGTATCTCAGATCTGAAGAGAGACAAAACCAAGAGCAACTGCACTATCTGTCAAATCCTCTGTCGTTCATTTTTCGGTCAGGTAGGCTTTTTTCAACCTAGAGAGAGAGACTCCTCTGTTGGAGTACTGGAGTTTCTGGGACGTCGTTCTAACAGTTGCTCGCCCATTTCCATATACAGAGAGAGTGGAGAAGAAATTTTTGACTGTTTATAGTGAGACAAGAGTGAGTGAATGAGTGGAGGAGAAAATTTTGCCTGTTATATAGTGAGAAAAACAGAGTGAATGAGCAGTTTCGGTGAATCAATAATAATTGTAGCACCATTGTGAGGCGATGTTTTCGTATGGAAACAGTTGTATTCCTGTATTATCTGAATCTCACGTCAAGCATTTGTTTTGTTGGATCTCAGAGTTGTAAAATGCTAGCATTTTAAACTCTTCGTCTGTTCTGCATGTATTCACTCACTCTGAAGCTCCAAAAATTATCCATGTAAGTTTGAGTATTTGGGATTTATTTTGGAGATTATGAGCGGATATATTGTAATTTTCATTGCCAAGTTCTTTTATTTGCTTTATAGTTAATGATTATTCCTGAAATTTATCTCCTTTTGATTGTCTACGGCATTGATTGAAAAAATAAAAGTTGGAGTTCAAGAATTGTGTTTGGAAAATGGAAGGGGTGTTTGAGAAAAGTTTGGACTCGGAATTATGGCATGCTTGCGCGGGAGGAATGGTTCAAATGCCGTCAGTGAACTCTAAGGTATTCTATTTCCCACAAGGCCATGCAGAGCACACACTCATGGAATTCCCAGCCTTGCCGAGAATTCCGCCTATGATTCTCTGCAGGGTTGCGGCTGTGAAATTTTTGGCAGACCCTGAAACAGATGAAGTTTATGCCAAAATGAGGTTGATCCCAGTTGTGAATAGTGATTATAGTCTCGATGATGATGTGGGGTTGGGAGGAAATGGATCTGTAATGAATGAAAAACCCACTTCTTTTGCAAAGACATTGACTCAATCTGATGCGAACAATGGTGGGGGTTTCTCTGTTCCGAGGTACTGTGCAGAGACTATATTTCCTAGGTTGGATTATTCGTCTGATCCGCCTCTCCAGACTGTGATTGCTAAGGATGTTCATGGGAAGACTTGGAAGTTTAGGCATATCTATAGGGGGACGCCGAGGAGGCATTTATTGACCACTGGGTGGAGTTGTTTTGTTAATCAGAAGAAGTTGGCTGCAGGAGATTCGGTCGTGTTTTTGAGGGCCGAAAATGGGGATATCTGTGTTGGGATTCGGAGGGCCAAGAGGGATGGCAGCATCGGTGGCCATGAATCTTCATCTAGGTGGAATTCTAGTGGTTGTGCTGGAAATTATAGATACTTTTCTGCATTTGATAGCAAGCTGATGCACAGAAGCGGCAATAATGGGAGCCTAAGGGCGGAGAGGAGCAAAGTGAAGCCTGAATCAGTTATGGAGGCTATATTTCTTGCCACCAGTGGCCAGCCTTTTGAGGTGGCTTATTACCCGCGAGCAGGCACGCCGGAGTTTTGTGTAAAGGCTTCCTCCGTCGGTGCTGCGATGAAGATCCAGTGGTTGTCCGGGATGAGGTTCAAGATGGCTTTTGAAACAGAGGATTCTTCCCGGATTAGCTGGTTTATGGGTACTATAGCTTGCGCTCAGGTTGCTGATCCCGTTCGCTGGCCTAATTCATTGTGGCGACTCCTTCAGGTATTTAAGGGAAGGCTCAAACCTCTGAAGTTAAAATTCGTGGTCTGTCTATTGCCAAAACCTTGGAAAATTGTCGGTTTAATGTGTGTTTTGTTCCGATTCCATCTAAACAATGTTAAAGTTCACATTCCTTTTGCCTTTTTTGATCTAACAAGAAAACTGATTTAAGGATATGAGGGCGGAATATAATAATAATTAGAGTTGTTGAACTCTTCTCTTATTCGTATTATCCCTTTCCTGAAAATAAGAAATACTTTGACCTACAGGGACATTAGATGGACATTCTCTCAGTTTCTACTTCTGCATATTTTGCATTGCTACAACCTAAGCAGTAAAAAAGAAGAAATTTTCTCTCAGCTTATTTTTACTTTCCATTTGCTTTTACATATCTCGCCTTTTTTGCAGGTGAGATGGGATGAACCGGATATGCTACAAAATGTAAAACGTGTTAGCCCTTGGCTAGTCGAAATGGTCTCAAATATACCTGCCATTCATCCCTCACCCTACTCACCACCACGAAAGAAGTTTCGTTTACCACATCATCCCGTCTTTCCGCTTGATGACCAGTTTCCAATGCCGTCATTTACAGGCAACCCTCTTGGGCCAAGCGGTCCCTTACGTTCTCTATCCAAAGACATCAATGCAGGCATACAAGGAACCAGGCATGCTCAGATTCGAGCCCCGATCTCAGATCACCTTAACAATAAACTGCAGTTGGGACTTTTACCCCCTAGTTTCCCGCGGCTTGATCTCCATGCTAAAATTGCTGATGGTATTGTCAGAAGCCACGATGGTAATGAAGATATTTCTTCCTTGTTAAGCATGGGGAATTCTAGTCAGAAATCCAAGAAAGCTGATACTGTAATGACACCCCGATTCATCCTGTTCGGTCAGCCAATACTCACCGAGCAACAAATGTCTCGTGACTGCTCAAGTGACGTTTCTGAAGTATTATCAGGAAAGAATTCTCCAAGTCTCCCAAAAAGTTTGTCCAGTACCAAACAGGGCTTTCATGCAGCAGAGCTTGGATTGGGCACAGGGCACTGCAAAGTATTCTTGGAGTCAGATGATGTGGGTCGGATTCTCCAATTATCCGCTCTTGTATCATATGAAGAACTATACAAAATGCTTGGAAACATGTTCGAGATTGAAAGATTAGAGATGCTGAGCTACGTGTTCTATCATGATGTAACTGGTGCTGTTAAACAAGTTGGAGAAGAACCATTCAGGTGAAGCTCGTCATTTTGTTACCTTTTACATTCCATGGTTTAACAATTGCATTTCGAAAAGACATGTAATCTTCATGAATTGCTTTTGATTTACCATAATGTCTCGTTTTCTTATTTTGCAGTGAGTTCACAAAGAAAGCAAAAAGATTGACAATTCTAATGAAGCCAGGCATTAGCGACGTAGAAAGGTATGTATTATTATTTTCATCCAAATTTGTTTGTTTTTTAAGGTTTTAAATCTGATGGTTTAGGAGAAATTTTCTAGAATTTGCTCATTTTGGAAAGAGTTAAACTTCCTTTTAGAGAGGGAGTATTTCATTCTACTAAAAGCTTACTAATTTTGTATTTCAGGAAATTGATTACTGGTCTGCCAACTTCTGAACGAGGACTAGATTCATCAAACCAGACAGGTCCTCCTTGGGCATATTTGCTCAGTACGAGCATTTAAATTGATGTGATAAAGTCTGGACGAATTTCTGGTTTTCTTCTGTTTCTTTATGAACTCAACTTTGAAAAAATTTCTACATACGATTATATGGTCTTTTTGTGACCATTGAATTCTTTGGATGTACTAAGCTCGATCCAAATTTCTGTCCAAAGGTTTCGATGGAGAAAATTGATGCCTAATTTGTAGCCAAAAGGTGAATGATATTGTTCCCCTATGATGTGAATTTATGGTTTGTGGGTTCGTAGCTAGTCTTGTGCTTTTTCAAAGTGCTTTTGTTATTTGTACGAATGACAAGTATACTCAAGATTATTGGCTCACTTCATTGAGTCTACCATGTTTTACGTAATATGCACTAAACAGTGCAGTCGCAATGGGAAAGAATATAATAAAGTTATAGTCGACAATGGTTAAATAGTATCTGAATAAGCACTTTACATTTTGATATACAACAATAAGACGTTCATTGCTTGAAGAAGTTTAGTCAATGTTTTTTCTTGACTAAAGGAATGCATCCCCCAACACATACTGGACACATTGAGCTAATAAGTAACGTGTGACTGTGCACGTTATACTTAAATTATTAATTTCTTTTGTTTTATTAAAAATGTATACTACTAGTTTTTAGTATGCAATTGGCCAAATATTGATTCTACATATTTCCTAGCCTAAGAATAAGGTAAGGATAGCAGATTACAACATTAGTATATTCTATGTCAATCAGATGTCAGCCAACAAGAACAAATCCAAGTCACCCAAACTTCTTCTTCTTTATTTTATTTTATTTTTTAAATTTCTTTGTTTTATTACATAGAGATTCGTCACTTGTTTAGTAAAATGGATTCGACTTCTATAAAAATATTTTTATATGGTGTCAAAACTAATTCGATTTGAATACAACCTGTTGTGAAGTCTAGGGGTGGCAAATGTTGAAACTTCTCGAAACATAAACATGAACAAATGGACAGGCCGGTCTTGAATGAAATTGAAAGCATTTTGACAATCCCCACAACCTAAAAGTGACAAAAACCCATTATTTAATTTTGGGTAAAAAGTCTAAAAAGCAACAAAAATTTACACACACGTGAGGTGTGGAGTAATGTGAAGTTTTTCTATGAATTTGATGTGATCGCTAAGTAGAACTCACGTGTGCTTCCACTCTCCCCGCCGCCTCGATGGCTAAAATGTAAAATCAATTGGGCTTAAACATTAATGCCATCTTTGACCCGAGGTTAATTATATTAACACATTGATATTTATTTATTGAAGCATTTTTTAATTGCATTAGAGGACACCAATCTTTTTTTATCATCACATATGTATCCTTAATTTTTTTTTATTATATTATTATCCTCAAACTTCTATTATTTAAAGACGGCATTCGTCTTTTTTAATTTTTATCCTTAATATTTTTAAATAAGTAAAAAATTAATAAATACAAAAATACAATAGAATAAATGACTCTCATTTCAAAGCCCATAATATTTTGATAGAAATCATGTTTAATGATAAGATGAGCTAATTAATGATAGGTTGACAACAAGAATATGACAAAAAAAGTTGGAACATAAATAGAATAATGGTTAAAGATTGAGAACCCTTATGGTAATTAAAAATGGTGCAACAAATAAAATATATGATGTGAATATAATCATCCTTGTCATACTTCTTAGTAGATTAAGACAACATTATTGCCATCTTTGACATAATTACTTCTTAATTAAAGCGACTCTTAATCATCGTTATAAATGCAACTTCAAGAGACTGTATTTTTAAATAGTATATTCTAAAATTTAAAGAACATTTAAAAAATTAGAGAGTAAAAAATTTTAAGTGTTCCAACATGCTTTTTATATATAACACTTTATATGCTCCAAAAAATATTTATTATTTTTCCTATCTTTTATTTTTCACTAATTTTCCTCCAAATATTATATTATTTTTCTCCATTGAAAATTGAAATAATAGAAAGTGGATATGGAGACAAACTTGCTCTTTAAATTAAAACGTTAATTTAAATAATATCTTGAAGCATAATATTAAAGATTGATTCTTTAAAATAAAGAGTATGCTATATTTAAAAAGTCTATTGGAGATGATTTTACAATGTAATAAAGTGATCGAGTATAACAATACGTTTCGACTAGAAAAGTCGAGAAATTGATCCAAAATTGATTCTATTCTATATATATATATATATATATATATATATATATATATACACACAAAA